GCCCATAAACTCATCTTATAGAGACTTAATTGACTCATAGCCTTCAATGGCCTGAGCTTCACGTTTGCATTCCGGAACCACAGAAATAATTGATGCAATCGGCAAATGTATTTGGTGAAGGACCGGATGAAAACATTGACATCGTCTATGTATATTAGGCATGTAAACCATTGTAGGACTGCTCAGGCCAACTAAAGTTTGAGCTGGAACATTGCTGATGGAATCTGAAGGGCCATACAATGGCATACAGTGAAGGAAAAAATTATTTGATCCCCTATTGATATTGTACGTTTGCCCACTACAAAGAAATGATCAGTATATAATTTTAATGGTAGGTTTATTTGAACAGTGAGAGACAGAATAACAACAACAAAATCCAGAAAAAACGCATGTCAAAAATGTTATAAATTGATTTGCATTTTAATGAGGGAAATAAGTATTTGACCCCTGTGCAAAACATGACTTAGTACTTGGTGGCAAAACCCTTGTTGGCAATCACAGAGGTCAGACGTTTCTTGTAGTTGGCCACCAGGTTTGCACACATCTCAGGAGGGATTTTGTCCCACTCCTCTTTGAAGATCTTCTCCAAGTCATTAATGTTTCGAGGCTGACGTTTGGCAACTCGAAACTTCAGCTTCCTCCACAGATTTCCTATTGGTTTAAGGTCCGGAGACTAGCTGGGCAACTCCAGGACCTTAATGTGCTTCTTCTTGAGCCACTCCTTTGTTGCCTTGACCGTGTGTTTTCGGTTATTGTCATGCTGGAATACCCATCTACGATCCATTTTCAATGCCCTGGCTGAGGGAAGCAGGTTCGCATGTCAAAAATGTTATAAATTGATTTGCATTTTAATGAGGGAAATAAGTATTTGACCCCCTCTCAATCAGAAAGATTTCTGGCTCCAAGGTGTCTTTTATACTGGTAACGAGCTGGGATTAGTAGCACACACTTAAAGGGAGTGCTCCTAATCTCAGCTTGTAACCTGTATAAAATACACCTGTCCACAGAAGCAATCAATCAGATTCCAAACTCTCCACCATGGCCAAGACCAAAGAGCTCTCCAAGGATGTCAGGGACAAGATTGTAGACCTACACAAGGCTGGAATGGGCTACAAGACCATTGCCAAGTAGCTTGGTGAGAAGGTGACAATAGTTGGTGCGATTATTCGCAAATGGAAGAAACACAAAATAACTGTCAATCTCCCTCGGCCTGGGGCTCCATTCAAGATCTCACCTCGTGGAGTTGCAATGAGCATGAGAACGGTGAGGAATCAGCCCAGAACTACACGGGATGATCTTGTCAATGATCTCAAGGCAGCTGGGACCATAGTCACCAAGAAAACAATTGGTAACACACTACGCCGTGAAGGACTGAAATCCTGCAGCGCCCACAAGGTCCCCCTGCTCAAGAAAGCACATATACATGCCCGTCTGAAGTTTGCCATTGAACATCTGAATGATTCAGAGGACAACTGGGTGAAAGTGTTGTGGTCATATGATAACTAAATGCAGCTCTTTGGCATCAACTCAACTCGGCGTGTTTGGAGGAGGAGGAATGCTGCCTATGACCCCAAGAACACCAACCCCACCGCCAAACATGGAGGTGGAAACATTATGCTTTGGGGGTGTTTTCTGCTAAGGGGACAGGACAACTTCACCGCATCAAAGGGACGATGGACGGGGTCATGTACCGTCAAATCTTGGGTGAGAACCTCCTTCCCTCAGCCAGGGCATTGAAAATGGGTCGTGGATGAGTATTCCAGCATGACAATGACCAAAAACACACGGCCAAGGCAACAAAGGAGTGGCTCAAGAAGAAGCACATTAAGGTCCTGGAGTGGCCTAGCCAGGCTCCAGACCATAATCCCATAGAAAAGCTGTGGAGGGAGCTGAAGGTTCAATTTGCCAAACGTCAGCCTCGAAACCTTAATGACTTGGAGAAGATCTTCAAAGAGGAGTGGGGCAAACTCCCTCCTGAGATGTGTGCAAACCTGGTGGCCAACTACAAGAAACATCTGACCTCTGTGATTGCCAACAAGGGTTTTGCCACCAAGTACTAAGTCATGTTTTGCAAAGGGGTCAAATACTTATTTCCCTCATTAAAATGCAAATCAATTTATAAAATTTTTAACATTCATTTTTCTGGATTTTGTTGTTGTTATTCTGTCTCTCACTGTTCAAATAAACTTACCGTTAAAGTTATAGACTGCTCATTTCTTTGTCAGTGGGCAAACGTACAAAATCAGCAGGGGATCAAATACTTTTTTCCCTCACTGTACATGACTAATATACCAGGCAATACATACCGCGTGCTGAAGAATCTTTCTCCCGCCAATGCATCAAGCTAGTAATCTTTACACTGTAGGGGAAGCGCGTCAGCAAGCGTAATGGTGCTGAGGCAGTGGAAGTCTACGCAGAATCTCAGTGACTCGTCTGACTTTTTTGACTAGGACCACCGGAACCTGCCATGGACTTGACGAAGGGGAAATGATGTCGGCCCTCAGCATCTCCTGCACCACTTGCTGCTTGTGCCCTTTTTCTATTGGGCTCATCCCATATTTGTTTTGGTGCAGGGGAGCGGCACCCCCCGTGCTGATGTTGTGCTGCAGCAGATGTGTGCGTCCCCGACTGAACACGTCGGAGAACTCGTGGACCAATGAGTGCAGCCAGTGGGCGGCAAATCTGGCCATGGCTCCGCCAGCTGGTCCATCCACGCGTCGTCCCCTCTGTCATCGGACTTGCCAACACTTCCCACGAGCTCTGGCCCTGTCCCGGGGACTCCCATTGACAAGGGACTGACGTGGGTCAGAACCGTTCCCGCCCGCATTGTCGGTTGCCCTGTCCGAGGTGTTCAGCGCTTGAATGAACAGATGCTGATACCCCTGGACAATCGTCTTGGCCCCCACCAGTGCTCTGGAGACACCAGGACGGGTGAGTCCGGCTGGGACCGTCACGATGGGGGACCGATATCGCAGCGGTCTCAGCATCTGGGCTGCCGTGGGAATGGAGACAGACTCACTGACCAGAGCCTTCAGGAAATGTAGATGCGTTCCCTGGACTTGCATCCGCACGTTGTCCAGATCGATCTTCATCGGCATTTGGCCCAGATAGTCCGTCGCCAACAGGCGTGGCACTGGCAGCGTTGTGGAGACAAGGATGGGTTCTGCTACCGACAACTGCCAAATCTGTATAGGGGCCTCAGCCTTGCCGAGGAAGCTCATACTCCCTTCGTTGGCCACGACGAATGTGGTCTTGGACCCCCCATTGTGATGTGAGTTGGGCCCCCCATTGTGTTGAAGGGTGGGCCTTCCATTGTAGTGCGGGTTGATCCCCCCATGTGTTGTGGGGTGGGCCCCCCATGTGGTGTGGTGTGGGCCCCCCATGTGGTGTGGTGTGGGCCCCTCATGTGACGAGGGGTGGGCCCCCTTAACGCAACCTCGTGATCCGACTCCACCCCGATCCCCGATGCCACCCGCAGCGATGGCTTCGACTCAGCTGGTGGAGGTCCTTCCTGAGCTGCTGCGTAGACAGCACGCAGGCGGCGGTTCAGGCCCGGCGGTTTGTATCGCTGGCCCTGGTAGCGCCGTGGTAATGGGCTGACTGCTCCCTCCCACGGTGCCCAGCACCTGGCCCACCGGTCGCGAACAACCCATGACCTGTTTACGGGCCTGCAGGATCCGGGCGGCCCACAGTGAGATGCCCTCGTCGGGCGTCACCACCGGCATAACAACGCCCGCACGGCAAGCGTAGGCTACGAGGTGCTCGACCACGAGGTTCTCGACCGCCTCGTCGGCCAGGCGAGGTAAGGCCCTCCTTGCCAACACCAGCAGCGCATCCCATGTAGGCTAGAGTTTAACTCTCTGGCCCCCCACTGGCGGGCCTGAAACCGCCTGAGTAGATTTCCCTCAAAGCCTGTAGCGTGGTCTTGCTGCACGCGAGAAGGGAGGTGTAAGTGGCGAGCACATCATCATCCAGAACGGATGGCAGCGCTCGAAGCGCCACTTCGTCCGACCATTCGAGGCAGTCGTTTTATTTGTATTTTTGTAAGTGATTTGTTTACCTTTTCTATACTTTGCACTCCTATTGTGTGCGTATTGTTTGTTGTTGTTGTTGTTGTAACGATCTGACCACCAATCCCCGATTGGATGTCTGTGAAAAACACATTTAACGCTCATCAAATATCCTCCTCCAAGCTAAATAAAGCATCTGATTCTGAGTGATTTCCATCAGAGGTTACAAGGGGCGTCATTGGCGAACTTTCGTCACACAATAGTTGTGAAAAAAACACGCAAAATTACCAACTCGAGCAAGATTAATTTAATTTTAAAAAGTACAAATACTTAAAAGTCGCCCGTCTTCCAAGCAACATACTGCATGCATTTTGTTTGACAATTGTGTGTTGAGTGAGAGATCATAGAACTACAGGTTTATACATTGTAATCAGGCACAGGCGATATCCCTCGATCCACGAACGTTTCGGTTTACGAAGTTTCGCGCGAACGCGATTTACAAATGACAGACGCTTTTTTTTTCCTGTAAAACTAAATCATCCATTTAATACAAGCTTTACTACCCGTCTTCGCCCGGGACTTGAATTTGTGTCTACGATTAATTTCATAGTCCCTTCTATTTCACTGATAAACCCTGAAAAAAGTTGATGTTTGCAAGAAAGAAAAAAAGCCGAAACAATTCAATTGAACTAAATCGGATGTTTTTCACTCGAGGAAATTCATCCTTAAGCCACTTATACGTAAGGTCGTTTTAGGCAACTCGGGGAATGATGTGGTGAGCTGAAAGTCGCGTTCCCTTTGACATTCCAGACAGCATGAGCTGTGCAAATTTCATGACGTCAGAGCTCAGCGTTCGAGACTTTTTGCTGCTTCAGACAAACAGATGCATTATCTGGGGGGGGGGGGGCGGGGGGGGGGGCGCGTGACGTCAGCAGGTACACTGCGTTGACGCTGCCGCATGCGGGGTGACATCACAGATGTGACGTTAATGCTCACTTGCCTTGCAAAATATATCCATTATTGCGCCTCCCCCCCAAAAAAACCCAACACAAAAGTCTATTTTTTATACTTTTCAATTGTGTACATTCTGGAAGCTACCGACATGCGAAATTTTAAGTTTGTTGCACGTTGGGAAGTATGCTAAACATTTCGAACAGTCACATTCGCAAATTTCCCTTTAATAGAGATTTTAACCAGGTGTAAGTCACCACTAATGAGCTGGTGTAGCTCTTTCAGAAGCGATCTGGGCCATCACATACGATGGCAGCACAACCAAGTATCATGATATCATTATTATCGTCATCACGTAGAAATGTCTAGCAGCAGGCAAATAGCCCTGAATGCGTAGTGATGTTGATTCTAAATGTGAAGATGAAAAATCGGAGGAACACAGAGAGATTGACACGCAAACTACAAAGACAGCAGCACGCAATGTCAGGATGGGGATCGAACTCACGACCTCCTGTATACCAGGCGAGGAAGTTATCAGCTCCCTAGCCACTGTGGTACAATCAACTAAATCGAATTTCTGCGTAATAGAATTTCCTACGGCAGTCGCCCATCTAACGAGAATGCCACCGGGGAGACTACATCATCGAAAATCTGCGACAAAGAGCTTCGTAGGTCATCAGATTTCCTCCCCCTCCCGTCTAAATAAAGATTCCGATCCGCGACAGTATTATGGTGTCCCTATACAGTGCAACGGTAACATCTCCACATCACCCTCTCCAGTCATTCCAACATACATATTAGTTATTTCAAATGTATTATTATTCAATCGTTTTAATATTCACGTTCAATAATAATGTTATTACACGTTTTTTGCACCCTGAAAAGTGACAAAGGTGTGTTGAAAATGTTTTTTTCGAGTTGTAATGACTGTCCGATACGCTTCCCCGAAGTTTTAGTATTAAACCAAACGGGTAAAGCCGTTGCGAATGACAAATTTAGTTATGCTCGTGAGTCTGTTTTTTAGATGTTTGAGAAACGAATGCCATTCGGTAAATCGAGCAGTACCTTGTACATGCCATTGATAAGGGTCATGCAAATCTGCTACCCCACCCACCACCTCCACCCTTGAGTATAGGACTTCCTTTCACCCCCCAATCATCCGCAAACTCTCTGAACACCCTCCGTGACCTGTTCCAAATCAAGGTTAAAGACCTTTCCATTCTCTTCTGCCATGCAGGATCCACTGTCTGGCTCTCGATAAATGATGATATATCATTCACGACTTGGGTATCTGCGTAATGAGTCTATGGATCGCTATGTGGTGAGTCTGTAGGTTTCTGCGTGACGAGTCTACTTGTCTCTGTGTATGTTCACACGTACATTGAACTTCTTTAGCAGCGTAACGCAACAATCTTGACGATTTTAACGTTGCACAGCTCCACTGGTGCAAGCGTCGTGAGACGACCGAGTGGAAGGGCAAAAGCGATTGGACAGAACCCAGGCACATGTGGGTGGGGGTGGGGGGTGCGGCTGTGACGTCACGACCTACACCAGAGCCCTGCTGACCACGGCGCTGATGGCCACGCCCAGCAGGGCCAGGGTCACGTGAGCTGCGCCCACCGGGCGAGGGGCGGCGTTGAAATTGCAGCCGTTGGTCTGGCAGCACAAGATCGTCACGCGACCGTTGAAGTCGTATATATTTATGGCTTTGCATTCTTCAAAGTTCATGCACTTCTTGGTGAGGAGGTAGGCTGGACAGAAGAGAAAGCACGCCGGTCTCATTGTGAGTAAAAATATTTCATTACAAACACGTGAAAAATATTTTTTATTTGTTATTTTACCAGGTGCAAGCCCCACTGAGCTGCAATATAGCCCTTTTTCATAAGTGACCTGTATGTGTGTGTTGAAATTCTTACGTGACATATGTAGCCAACCGTGCTAATCTGTAGGTAGAGTCTCTGATTGGGATGCAGAAACCCATGAACTAATCACTTAAATAAACCCACTGACTCATCTTACACAGACCCCATAGACTAAAATTTGATTGAAAACTTTCGTGACTGCGGGAATTCATTTTCTTTGGTTCTTTCGGTAAAGTCACGTAGATATAAAACAACAAAATAAAAAAAATAAACTCACGACGTTTCGATCGCAACACAAGCGGTCGACATCACGCGGAGAGAAAAGTGGGGCAAGCCTCCAACTGCAACTGTTTATAAAGGCTTGAAATGGGCATAGCCCAAGTGGCAGAAGGAGTGGTGACAAGTGCTGCAGGGCAGCATGAATGGACCAGCTAAAGTTGTGCGTGGGCAGGGCACAAGAGTCATGGCGCAGCATGAACGAATGAGCTAGTGCTGAGCAGCTTGGCGCTCAGCAGCATGGGCAGGCCAGCCAATGCTAATTTTCTCTCCGCCTGATGATGACCGCTTGTGTTGCGATCGAAACGTTTGTAAGTTTTTAACTTTTTTTATTTTGTCGTTTTCTATCTACGTGATTTTACCGAAATAATGAAAGAATATGAACCCCATAGACTCATTACACACAGAGACCCATAGACTTATCACACACAAAGACCCATAGACACACTCTAAAGAGACCCATAAACTCACGACAAAGAGACCCATAGACTCACCACACAGAGACCCATAGACTCACCACACATAGACCCATAGACTCATCACACACAGAGACCCATAGACTCGCCACACACAGAGACCCCATAGACTCATCACACACAGAGAGACCCAAAGACTGGCCACACTAGAGACCCGATAGACTCAAAACACAGTGAGGGCAGACGCGCGTCTTGCGAGTGGATCATGCGCCTGGGAGTCACTGCTGAACGCAAGGGGTCCACCCCCAACCCGCGCTGTGCATGAATAAGCAATGCGCTTACTGGAGCCCTGTTGGATGGTTATTGTCGCGCAGGCATCATGCGAGTTTCCGGAACACTGAATGGCACCGCCCTCATTGCACACCGTATTGTTGATGTTCGTGCGGCATGAGTAGCATTTGATGCTGTGCCCTGTATATTCACAGACGCAAGACACAAGAACAATACCCATCATCATGATCATCATGGCAATCGACCATCATCCCGGCAGACAATCATCATTATCATCACGGCAGACGATCATCCTCATCATCATCATCAAGGCAGACCATCATCATCATCATGGTAGACCATCATCATCACCACGGCAAACAGTCATCATCGTAACAGCAGACGATCATCATCACGGCAGACGATCATCACGGCAAATCTTCATCATCACAGCAGACGATTATCATCAAGGCAGACAATCATCACCATCATCATAACGGCTGACGATCACCATCATTATCATCATCACGGCAGACGATTTTTATCATCATCACGGCAGACGATTTTTATCATCATCACGGCAGACGATCATCATCATAACGCTGCTGCACGACGAATCCGGGCGACCCGAGTTTGATTCCCGCTGCAAAGTATTATTTGTATTTTGATTTAATGTGCTGATCTCAAAGGTGCATTGAAAAATGTGATACTCCGACTGATGCTCCTGTTGTTTCTGGAGTGACTCATGCAGCCAGCTGTGGCTCCAGGGTTTGGTGTTACATGTTATTTATGTAGTTTATTGTCAAAAATTTGGTCACAGTTCCTATGATCACTGTTACATTGCATTTTTGGCTTTATTTTGGTGATTTCGAAAAGTTTTTTGGTTTGGCCATGTTTTTGTTTATATACTACGGAGTTAGACTGATGGCCTTAATCTAAGTTTTCTTGTTGTTGTTTGACTTGCATCCCACTGGGATTTTTGCACACAGCGTTGGTGTACGGTGCTATTTCAGGAATATTTTGATGTTTTTTCCTAGATTTTCTGTTTGCACATGCACAAAGTCACTTTAAGATGTTTTCTTCTTCATGTTTTTGTTTGTTGCGGTTGCACCCAATTCAAGAGCCGAATGGCTCACAGGGCTATACCAAATAAATGAAACTAAAACTATGAAACTAAACCACGGGTGGCGATCATCTGAAGCGGTACCCTGGGGCCTCCTCCCACGAGGTCTACTCGTCCTCAAATGGGTACCTAGTGCAGTGGTGGTGTGTAGTAAACATCGCCACTGGGGAGACAAAGGTGGCCGGGCGTGGTGTTGGCCACCCACCACCTCACTGAGCTACACACGTGTAGTGTTGTGAATACAGCCACAGTGCCGGAGGAGCGCCGGGTGCCCCGATTGGACGAGCAATAGGGCACGTTACCGGAAGCGGTGCATTTACTGGACGAACTCAGGTCACGTGACCGGAAGCAGTGTCCGATTGGGCGAGCTAAGGGCACGTGACCGGAAGCGGGCATCGATTGGAGGAGTCAAGGGCACGTGATCTGAAGCGGGTTTCTCGATTGGAAGAGTTAAGGGCACGTGGCCAGAAGCGGGGGGTGGGGGGGGGGGGCGCCGTCCTTGATACTGCAAGGGGCGGGGCCGGAGCCAAGGGATAAAGGGGGCGTGCGTTCGGGGATTCGGGGCTCGTTCGGGGATCAAGCGAGTTAACAGAGACCCACGTAGTGAGCAGTCTAGAACAAGTTAGCCAACAGAACCCATAGTTCATTTCCATTTATTTCCATAGTTCCATTTACTTGGTATTGCCCTGTGAACCATTCGGCTCTTGAATCGAGTGCAACCGCAACAAACAAAAACAAAAACACGAACAAGAAAAACATCTTAAAGTGACTATGTGACTGTGAAAACAGAAAATCCAGGAAAAAAACATCAAAATATTCCTGAAAAAGCACCGTACACCAACGCTGTGTGCAAAAATCCCAGTGGGATGCAAGTCAAACAACAACAACCACAAGACAACAAAGATTAAGGCCATCAGTCTAACTCCGTACTACAATAAACAAAAACCCGGTGTACAGTTAATTGTTTAATAAACACGTTGCCTCCTTATAACGGTGTGTGTGCCTTAGTCAACGTACACGACACACGTAGCCTCAGTGGCGCCTTACCCCTGGCACAATTAAAGTAGTGAGTGAAGTGAGTTAGTTAATATGACAAAATGTAAAAATAAAAACGCACCGAGAAACCACGAAGTAGTCGAGACGGAACAATTGATGATTTTTTCAACGCTTCAACTTGCAGTCTTTAACGAAAAGAGAAGTCCTAAACTTAATTTCAAGAGGTAATGCGAGCGTGTATACGCAGAACCAAACAAGTCCAACACAGCGTGAACCGAAACTAAACACCCCGAAAAATGTAAACATCAAATAACTCTGTCGATATTGGAGATACTGCGGCAACGTCGATGTCAATTTTATGCGTTTGATTTACTATATAGTTGAAACTAATATTTATTGGGTACTTTCTGTTTCTGATATAATGACGAGTCCGGTCATGTACAGCAGTAGGCATCGTCAGGGTCCGGGATCGAACCCACGTACTCCTGTATACAAGTCAAAGTAGTTAACATCTCCACAGGGAGAGAGAGACACACACACAGAGACTCCAAATATAGCAGCAGGCATTGTCAGGGTCCGGGATCGAACCCACGTACTCCTGTATACAAGTCAAAGTAGTTAACATCTCCACAGGGAGAGAGAGAGACACACACACACAGACTCCAAATATAGCAGCAGGCATTGTCAGGGTCCGGGATCGAACCCATGCACATCCTGTACACCAGACGAGGTAGTTAACATCTCTATATATATCGCAGTATCGGCGTTGCTTTGGTGTCGTTGCAACAACAAACAACTCGCCACGCAGAAGTTGTCTCACCTTCGCTCACGAACAGCAACGCCACGAGGAGTAGACCCGGCAAGTGGGAAGTCATGGTTAGAGTCGTGGAGCCTGGCGTTGTGGCGCTTTTGGGATGGAAAGTCGGTGAGTTGAGAGAGACAGAGTTACAGAGTCATAGAGAGAGAGATACTGTATATCCCTGGAGCGGTGACTGCGTCTGCGTAGTTAACTGGGAGAATTTATAAGCGCCAGAGATTAATGAGATCGCGGAAGACACTCCTACAAACTCATTAGCATGCCACTTACAAACATTTGGAGGTGATATGCAAATATATATATGTCGGAGCTCGTTGCTCAATAGCCGCAAACTTGTCTGGCACACGAAGTGGGGTGTGGTGGGTGCGGTGGGTGGGTGGGTGGCCAGCGCCACCCGCTCACGGCCGCCTTTGTCTCTCCCCACTGCAATCATATACACCCACGAACACCTGCATGCACACACACCTGTACATATACACTCACACCTGCATGCAAACATACCTGTACATATACACAAACCTATAAATATACCCACACAACTGCATGTAAACACACACCTGCATTTGCACACACCTGTAAATACACACCTGCATATACACGCGAAACACACAAACATACATATACACACTTACACCTGCATGTACACACACCTGCATATACACTCACACATGCATGTTCATACACGTGTACACACATACAAACACACGCAAACACACTTGTACACACACACGTACATACACACAAGCACCTGTATGTACACACACCTGCATATTCTCACACTTGCATGTACGCACACACGTGCATATATGCACAATCATACCTGTACATATCCACACACAAAGACAAATACAAAGATGCCCCATAGCCTTAACATAATGGAGGAGAAAGTGCTGTTAGCGAGCACCTATGAATGCCGGGACGGTACACGAGGGGGTGGGTAGACAGCACCACGCCCGAGCGCCTTTATCTCCCCTGTCGCGAAGTTTACACACTCATTTGAGCCTGAGTCGTCCTAGGGGAGGCCCAGGACCGATTCAGATAATCGTCACTGGTGTTGGCCGTGAGCAGGAATCGAGCCCGGGTCGCCAGGTTCATAGCGCACACACTTATACCTGCATAGACACACACCTACGTATACACTTATACCTGAATAAACACACACGCCTGCACATACACACACAAACACATGCATATACCCACAAACACCTGCATATACAAACACACCTGCATGTACACACACCTGTTAATACACACGTACCTGCATATACACACTCACACTTACATGTACACACACACACACCTGCATATACACGCAAAACACACCTACGTATACAACAGCCGCCATTCGCCACTAAGTGGCGGTGATGTCACCAAGATGCTTGTGCCAGGCTATGTGCACTTTGAGACCACGTGAAGTGTCGAACGCCCGCTGGCAGGAGGTCACAGGGCAGACCCAGGTGCCACGGGTCGACTGACTGAGATGACTGGCTGATGCACCACCTGTGCCCCCTACTATGTCAACCTGCTGTGCTTTAGCCACCCGGCGCTCCGCTCGTTGTTGTGAGCGTCGATCCTCTGCACTCCGTTGTTGTTGGAGGGCGACTGCCTCCAACTGCCCTTAGCATCCTTCACGAGCGCCTCCACAGAGGCCATCTTGACACCGCTGGTACCAGTCATCGGCAAGTCCACTCAGTTCCACATCCTCCTGTACCACATCATTCCATCTCTTTTCTAGCCCATACCATGGCCGTTTAGCCCCCTCGATCCAGCCGAACAAAAGCTCTTTGGGCATGCGGTAATTGGGCATGCAGGCTACATGGCCCAGCCAACGCAGCCTTGCCTGCCGGACGAGCTCACCGATGGGACTTTGTCCAGGAGGAGTTTGAGGTTCTGCTACTGAAACTGGAGTGTGCCACTAAGAGTTGGGGCCTTGCCGTCAGCCCCACCAAAACGAAGCACCTTCCTGGGTATTTTGTACCATCGGGCACTCCACCCCACAACTCCCAATCGGTGATGGGGCATTTGTGGAGAGAGTGGAGAGTTTCCCATACCTGGGCAGTGTGCTCATGACCGGCTCCAGTTTAACAGCAGAGGTCTCACTTCGAATCAGTCGAGCGGCAATATCTTTTATTCGGTTGCGTAACGCTGCGTGAAAGTGTGGTGCCGTCACAGCGGAGCCGCTCCCTCGGAGCCGTGCCCACCGCCGTGACGCCGCCGTCGGGGAGTGACTGCGCCAACGCTGCGTGCCCCTTCACCGCCCCCCACATGAATGCACGCACACCCCACGTAGAGCCGGGAGGGAAACTCACCTGGCCGACAGGTTTTTATCCAGAAGCCCCTAATGGGATCAAGCTTCATGGTTTCCTGCGGCCGGGAAATTGGGCGATCTACCCCCGAGGCTGACATGCACCGCGGCGCCGTGACCTGATATTAAAGTCGCGTGGTCACGGCAGGGGCCGTTGAGCCACCGCGAGTGGAACCACACACACACAAACACGAGTCAGTGGGCTGATAGCGGGAAGAACGGAGAGCGGACGTCCAAGGAACCACCGCGGTGACGTCACCAGAGTAGGATCCGAGCATCAAAAGGGCGGGAAAATCCAGGCCTCTGATTGGACAGGAGGCCAAGGGGGTAAAACAACGGAATGCCTTTGTTATAGGTAGGATAAAAGGAGGTAGATTTCCGGTAGTAAGGTTAGAGTCTTTCAAGTCATCGAAGTCAGCGGAGTGTTGGAGCCGGCCGTTCGAATCATCCGTGTGACGAGCTTCAACGCAGCCAGGCACAATCCTCCACGGAGACGACCCACAGCATTGCCCTTTCTACAGCCTCCGGCGCCTCAGATTGGAAGTCAGCATAAGTAAGGGAGAGGTGAGTTTGGGTTAATTAATCAGAGGGTAGAAAGTGAAACGCTAGGCAGAATAAATTGAGTCCAGGATCCCCGAAGGATAGGCCAGTCAGGGTCTGCTGACTCACACAAACACACGTAGTTTAGCGGGTTATTCGCGGGGAATAAAACCATCAGTAGAGGATAAAAATGTGTCGTGTGGTCACTGTGAGTGTGGAAAGGGGGGTGGAGTGATTTATGTTCCTGTGCATACGCGGCTGTTTACGGCGAATAGGAGAGTGTAGCATCTGGTGTTTGCGCACACGCGTGGCTGTTTAAACACTCTTTAAATCGGGGCGGAGTGACTCCCTCCAATCAGTGGCGTGCGCACGGCGGACCCCCCTGCCCTCTAACCCCTAACCCCAAGTTCCTCGCGTGTGATTGGTGCACGGGAAGCGCCTAGTGTTCGCGTGCACGCGCGGCTGTTTAGACGGCCTTTAAATCGGCTCAGAGGCGTCCCCGCCAATCGGCGACGAACGCACGGTGGGCGCCCCTGCCCTCTGACCCCCTGACCCCAAGTCCCTCGCGTTGCGATTGGTGTACGGAGTCGGGCAGGTAGCGGCGTCGGTTTTGTTAGCGCCTGGGTACGTAGAGCGTGCGTACGAACGGATCCCGGGGGCCAAGCGCCGGCTGCGGAGTCACACGTCGGCGACGCTGTACCCTTCCGTTCGCGCACGGGGCGGAGTTTTTGCTTCGCCAGCGCGCCCACCGCAGCACGCCCACTACTATGCCCGCGTAGCGCGTCGTGAACGTAAAGCCATCGGCCCTACCGATTGAGACATGCCTACGCGGGCAGCAGCAAAGGCGGGAGCACAGGGGGGGGGGGGGGCGAGGAGTTGGGAGTCGGTAGCCCGAACCCGACAGAGCAGTCGGGGAGTAGTAGTGAGAATGAAACAGAGGAGGCGAGGGGCAGCAGCCCCCGCAAAAGCTACCTGGTCTGTTGCTCCGCCACGAATCTTCGGGTCTTCTCGACCACAGTCATTCCCTCCCTAAATATACACACACACACACTCACACCTGCATGTACACACACCTGCATATACACACTTACATGTAAACACACCTGTACATAAACACGCACACACACATGTATATACACATACTTGTCGGCCTGAAGGGGTAATTGCGGTTATGGGCATGTTACGTAATGTCTAATTATGAGTTGGGCGTATCTGGGGTAAAGGTGAAAGGCGGAGTCAGTTCTGGAAGGGGCGTGGATGGAGGCGGGGCTTGGCCGCGCCGGGGCAGCATATAAGGGGCACCAAACCAGAGGTTGGGTGCTGCTCTTCGTCGTCCGGCCACTTGTCCGATCTTCTGCAATGGCTCTCATCATCCCCGTCACTGCGCCAGTCGGACAGCTGTGTAGTTGGACGCCGACGATGGGGTTGTGTAGAAGGGTCGGCTATGTGTAGCTACGTAGAAATATTACATGGATGTATCGCCCATTGTTGTGCTTAAAGTGTGAGAATAAATAAGATGCCTTTTACACGACGTGTCTCATAATGTCGCTTACTACACATATAAACACACACCTGCATATGCACACACTCACACCTGCATGTATACACACCTGTACATACACACACCTGTACATATCCACACATCTGCATTCACACAAACCTGCATACACACACTCACACCTGTATGTATACACATACCTATACATACACCTTTACATACACACCTGGACGTACACATACCTACATATACACACACCTGAATGTACACACACTCACACCTGCATGTACGTAAACCAGCATACACACACACTCACACCTGCATTTACACACCTGCATATATTCGCACCTGCATATACACACTCACACCTATATGAACATACATACATACAAAGATCAAAGATCCCCCATATAGCCTAAACAGACTGTAGGGGCAAGTGCTGTTAGCGAGCACCTATGAAGGCCGGAACGGTACACGAAGGGGTGGGTGGCCAGCACCACGCCCGACCGCCTTTGTCCCCTAGTGGCAATGTTTTTATCCACCGCACCAGGTACTCATTTGAGGCTGAGTCGACCTAGGGGCGGCCCGGGACCGGTTCAGATAATCGTCACTGGTGTTGGCCGTGAGCGGAATCGAACCCGGGTCGCCAGGTTCATAGCGCAGCGCGCTAACCGCTACACTACCGCTCCCCATGAGTGAGTGCCCGCCGTTGGATGAGGTTACTAAAGGCCGTGGCAATCTGGTTGACCCGGGAGGACACGTGACCAGTTACGTCTATAAAGAGGGCCTAAGTGGGGGTTAGGGTTGGTCACGTGGTTGAGATCCAGATCCTTCTCGAGAATTCTGGAAGGTGGTCGTGGCCAAGGGCGGAGCCAGTCACCCCGCAGAGAACATAAGCCGGGTCCCAAAGGGACCAGGGTTATTGTTCATCCTGGAAGAAACCTTCGTCTATATTCTCCGTTCAACGAGCTTCCAACACGTGGACCTGGACTCAAGCTGTGGTCCTGGTCCGTAGTAGCAGTTACGTTGTAATTAGTGTAGTTAGCCTGGTGGTCACCACCATAGGTTGTTATTCTCTTAAGGGGAAAATTACTCCGTGTGTTAGAGTTGAATAAATGTGTTGCCTCCAAGTCTACGTCTGCGACTATGTTTAACTCCCTACATATACACTCAGACCTGCACGTACACACACACCTGTACATACACACACACCTGCACATATACAAACATAAAGGCAATTACAAAGATCCCCATATAGCCTTGACCGACTCTAGGGGCAAGTGATGTTATCGAGCGCCTATGAAGGCTAGAACGGCATGCGAGAGGGTGGGTTGCCAAAACCACACCCGGCTGCCTTTGTCTCCCCAGTAGCAATGTTTATACATCGCTCCAGGTCCTCATTTGAGGCTGAGTCGACCTAGAGAAGACACAGTACCGGTTTAGATAATTCTCGCATGTGTTGGCCGTGAGAGGGAATCCAATCCAGGAAGCCTGGTTTGTAGCACAGTTTAGTGCTAACTATTGCTCAACCGCCACACACACACACAGACCCATAGACACCACACAGAGACCCATAATATCTCCACGGAGAGAGAGACACATACTCCAAATATACAGCAGGAATCGTCAGGGTCGGGATTGATTGAACCCACGACCTCCTGCATACCGGGCGAGGTAGTTAACATCTCCACGGGGAGAGAGACGCAGACTCCAAATATGCAGCAGGTGGAAGGGTCCGGGATCAAATCCACGAGCACCTGCTCTTACACCTCTCTTCCTGCTGCTACCTTAAAGACTTCTTCCCTAAGCTGTCTGAGGCAAAGGTAAAAGCTGATGTCTTTGTCGGACCACAGAAAAAGAAGATCCTGGAGTGCAATGAATTCCCCAAGTTCACTCGCAAGGAGAAAGTGGCTTGGAACAGCTTTGACGCAGTGGTTCGTGGCTTCCTGGGAAACCACAAGGTCGAAAACTACGTGAAGCTGGTTCTTCACTTTGGTGAAGAACTGCAGCACAATGGGCTGAAGGATGTCCTTCAAAGTCCATATCCTTGATGCTCATCTTGATAAATTCAAGGAGAACATGAAAGTGTACTTGGAGGAGTAAGGCGAGCGCTTCCACCAGGATATACTGGACTTTGAACGCCGATACAAAGGACAGGATAACGAGGACATGATGCGAAACTACATTTCAGGGCAGATTCGTGAAAGTGATTTACAGTATAATCGTAAATTTTGAAAAAACTACTCACTTCTAAATCTTTTGTAGTCATTTGTGCATTACTTTACTATAAGTACATTTTGATTTTGATTCATATGTTGTTTTTGTTTGATTTTACGTGAATTAAATACACAAATTCGCCTGTTTTCTCATTGAAAATAGGTAAATTTCAAAATATCACTTTCCTGGTCACAAAAGCAAAGTTTGTGGGAAATAATAGCCATTTTCTATACTTTATAGACATAAGCCATTACGAAATAACACTTACTACCCAGGATTTTTTTTTTCATAGTGTCATCATCCAGAACGGATGGCGGCACTCGTAACGCCTCTTCGTCCGACCAATCGACTCAGTAGTTTTATTCGAATTATTGTAAGTGATTTGTTTACCTTTCCTATACTTTGCACTCATATCGCGTGTGTATTGTGTGTATTGTTGTTGTTGTTGTAAGGATCTGACCCCGGTGCCCCGACTGGACATCTGTGAAAAACACATTTGTAGCTCATCAAATTTCCTCCTTCAACCTTAATAAATAATCTGATTCTGACTGATTTCCACCACTGGTTTACAAGGGGCGTCGTTGGGGAATTTTCGTCACACACCACTGTGAAATGACAATGTTGCCAACCTGAGCAAGATTAATTTAATTTTAAAAAGTAAAAACAATTAAAAGTCGGCCATCTTCCAAGAAACACACTGCATGCATTTTGTTTAACAATTGTGTGTTGTGTGGGAGATCATAGAACGATAGGAATAAGCATTGTAATCAGGTACAGGCGATTTCCCTCGATTCAACGTTTCGGTTTATGCGAAGTTTCGCTTGAACGCGATTTACAAATGACAGACGCTTTTTTTGTTTTTCGTGTAAAAATAAACCATTCATTTAATACAAGCTTTACTACCCGTCTTCGCCCGGGACTTGAATTCTTGTCTAGGATTAATTTCATATTCCCTTCTATTTCACTGAAAAACCCTGAAAAAAGTTGATGCTTGCAAGAAAGAAAAAAAGCCAAAACAATTCAATTTAACTAAATCGGATGTTTTTCGAGTAAAACTAAACCATTTATTTATTGTAACCAGGTGTAAGGCCCCACGACTAAGCTGGTGTAGCTCTCTTTCAGAAGCGACCTTGGCCATCACAAACAATGACAGCTCAAACCACGTGGCAAGATGTCATCAACATCATCATCACGTGGAAATGTCTAGCAGCAGGCAAATAACCCTGAATGCGTGGTGACTTTGATTCTAAATGTGAAGATGAAACATCGGAGGACCACGGAGAGATAGAGACACGCAAACTCCAAATACAGCAGCAGGCATCATCAGGGTGGGGATCGAACTCGCGACCTCCTGTAGACCAGGCGAGGAAGTTATCAGCTCCCTAGCCACTGTGGCGCAATCAACCAAATCGAATTTCTGCGTAATCGAATTTCCTTCGGCACTCGCCCATCGAACGAGAAAGCCACCCGGAAGGCTACGTCATTGGACATCTGTGACAAAGAGCTTCGTATGTCATCAGATTTCCTCCGCCTCCTGTCTAAATACAGATTCCGATCCGCGACAGTATTATGGTGTCCCTATACAGTGCAACTGTAACGTCTCCACATCACCCTCTCCAGTCATTCCATCATGCAGCAATTTGTTTTTATAGTTCTTTCAAGTGTATTATTATTTATTCCGTTTAATATTCACGTTCTTCAATAATGTTATTACACTTTTTTTGCACCCTCAAATGTGACAAAGGTGTATTGCAATTTTCTTTTCGAGTTGGAATTATTTGTTTTTTGTCAACGTGACACTTTTTTTTTGCTGATTGGCCGTGTCGGGTGGTGGAGGGTTACGCCACATTTATAAATAAACGCGATCTAACCCAAAAACCTTTATTATGAATAATATTGGTCGCGGAAGCCTACGTGTTAAACTGAGTTGGAATAACTGTCCGATACACACCCCCGAATTTTTTATATTAAACCAAACGCGTAAAGCCATTGCGAATTACAAATTTAGTTTCACGCACGTGAGTCTGTTTTTAGATGTTAGAGAAACGCATCCCATTCGATAAATCGAGCGGTACCTTGAACATGCCATTGGTCAGGTTCACGCAAAACTGCTACCCCAAACACCACCCCACCCAATAGTAGATTACTTCCTTTCACCCCCCCCCCAATCATCTCCAAACTCTCTGAACACCCTCCGTGACCTGTTCCAACTCCAGGTTAAAGATCTTTCCATTATCTTCTGCCTTACGGGATCCACTGCCTGTTTCTCTATAAATGATGGAATATCATTCCTCACTTTGGTATCTGCGTGACGAGTCCATGGGTCTCTGTGTGATGAGTCTATGGGTCTCTATGTGGTGAGCCTATGGCTCTCTGTGTAACGAGTCTACTTGTCTCTATGTTATGGACATACGTACGTTGCATTTTTTTTAGCAGCGTAACACAACAATCAAGACGATTTCAGCGTTGCACAGCTCCACTGGTGGAAGCGTCGTGAGACAACCGAATTGAAGTTTAAAAGTGATTGGATCAACCCAGGCACGTGGGGGGGGGGGGGTGGAGTGCGGCTGTGACGTCACGACCTACACCAGAGCCCTGCTGACCACGACGCTGGTGGCCACGCCCAGCAGGGCCAGGGTCACGTGAGCTGCGCCCGGCGGTCGAGGAGGGGCGGCGTTGACGTTGCAGCCGTCGCCCTGGCAGCACGTGGTGCTCAGCGTGGCTCCGCTGTAGGTTGCGTCGAATGCTTTGAGGGTGTCGCAATAGACCTTGGTCATGCACTGCTTGGTGACGGCGTAGGCTGGGTGGAAGAGAAAGCACGCGGGTCTCATTGTAAGTAACAAAAACAAAAATTATTAAAAATACGTAAAAAAATATATATTTGTAATTGTTATTTTACCACGTGAAAGTCCCCGCTGAGCTGTCATGTAGCCCTTTTTCAGAAGTGACCTGTACGTAGTCTTGGTTCTTTCGGTAAAGTCACCACGTAGAAGGGAAACAATGAAATGATAATAATATAAAACAATACGATTCTCACGACGTTTTTTTTTCAAATTTTCTTGCTGCGTTTTTCCACACCTGATGACGATTGCTGCTTTGTGTTGCAGTCGAAACGTCGTGAGAATTTTATTGTTTTATATTTGTATTATTGTATTGTTTCCCTTCTACGTGACTTTACCGAAAGAACCAAGAATATGAATCCCTGCAGTCACGAAAGCTTTAAATCTAAATTTGACTCTTTACGTGTTTGTTGAACTTATTTCGTGCAGTATGCAGCCAACCGTGCTAAGCTGTGCGTGTCTATAAGTGTGTTATGGGTGATTGTGGGACTCTTTGTATGTATGTGTGTGTATGTTTAACTTCTTTTGCACCATACATAGCCCACCATCCTAATTTCAGGTGCGTGGGGAAGGAAAACAAACTAAAGCACAACAATCAATTTTAAGAAATGAGGATGTCAACCGAGATAATGATTTCAAAGTGCAAAGCTCCTCGTGGCTTCCTAATATTGGAAGGAAGAGCGTTCCAGACGGCCGCAGAAGCAGCGCATCCGAAAGCGCCGTGCGATGATGCAGTGGCCACCTTTGTTCGACAGCCAGTCAAAAATACGCTACCACAAACGGTGGCTGATATCGTCACCATTATCATCGCGTTAAAATATAAAGCAGCAGCAGAATGCTCCGAACGCCGTGACGTCAATTCAAAAATTTGAAAGGAGAAAAATCGGATGACCCCAGAGAAATATCAACACATTGGGGAAGAGTCTCCGATTGGGATGCAGAAACCCATTTACTCATCACGTAAATAAACCAATAGACTCATCACACACAGAGACCCATATAAGCATCATACACATAGACCAATAGTCTCACCACGCAGAGAACCCACAGACTCACCACACAGAGACCCATTGATTCCCCACTCATAGACCCCATAGACTCATCACACACAGAGACCCATAGACTCATAAAACACAGAGACACCTAGAATCATCACACACACATAGACCCATAGAAGCATCACACACATGGACCCATTGACTTATCACACGCAGAAACCCATAGACTCATCACACACAGAGAGACCCATATACGCATCATACACAGAGACCCATAGACTCCCCACACATAGACCCCATAGACTCATCGTGCACATAGATCCATAGACTCATTACTCACAGAGACCCATATAATCAACACACAAATACCCATAGACTCTTCACCGCACAGAGACCCCATAGACTCGCAACACTGAGACTCCATAAACTCAACACACAGAGACCCCATAGACTCATCACACACGGAGACCCATAGACTCGCCACACAGAGACTTCATAAACTCAACGCACAGAGACCCCATAGACTCATCACCACACAGAGACCCTATAGACTCATCACCACACAGAGACCCATAGACTCACCACACAGAGACCCCATAGACTCATAACACTGAGACTCCATAAACTCAACACACAGAGATCCATAGACTCACCACACAGAGACCCATAGACTCATCACCACACAGAGACCCCATAGACTCACCACACAGAGACTCCATAAACTCAACACACAGAGACCCCATAGACTCATCACCACACAGAGACCCAATAGACTCATCACCACACAGAGACCCCATAGACTCAAAACACAGTGAGGGCAGACGCTCGTCTGGTAGTCCCTGCTGAACGCCAGGGGTTCGCCCCCAACCCGCACTTTGCGAGAATAAGCGACGCGCTTACTGGAGCCTTTGTAGACGAGGATTGTCGCGCAGGTGTTGCTCAGTTCATCGGGACACGTGATGAGACACACAGAGAGACCCATATACGCATCATACACAGAGACCCATAGACTCCCCACACATAGACCCCATAGACTCATCGTGCACATAGATCCATAGACTCATTACTCACAGAGACCCATATAATCAACACACAAATACCCATAGACTCTTCACCGCACAGAGACCCCATAGACTCGCAACACTGAGACTCCATAAACTCAACACACAGAGACCCCATAGACTCATCACACACGGAGACCCATAGACTCGCCACACAGAGACTTCATAAACTCAACGCACAGAGACCCCATAGACTCATCACCACACAGAGACCCTATAGACTCATCACCACACAGAGACCCATAGACTCACCACACAGAGACCCCATAGACTCATAACACTGAGACTCCATAAACTCAACACACAGAGATCCATAGACTCACCACACAGAGACCCATAGACTCATCACCACACAGAGACCCCATAGACTCACCACACAGAGACTCCATAAACTCAACACACAGAGACCCCATAGACTCATCACCACACAGAGACCCAATAGACTCATCACCACACAGAGACCCCATAGACTCAAAACACAGTGAGGGCAGACGCTCGTCTGGTAGTCCCTGCTGAACGCCAGGGGTTCGCCCCCAACCCGCACTTTGCGAGAATAAGCGACGCGCTTACTGGAGCCTTTGTAGACGAGGATTGTCGCGCAGGTGTTGCTCAGTTCATCGGGACACGTGATGAGGCCGCCCTCGTTGCACTCCGTTTTGTTGATGGTCGGTGGGCAACTGTAGCATTTGAGGCTGTGCACTGTATATCCACAGAATCAAGACACAAGAACAACACCGATCATCATTGTCATCACAGCAGGCAATCAGCATCATCACGGCAGACGATCATCATCATCATCACGGCAGACTATCATCATCACGATAGACGATCACCATCATCATCATCACGACAGACGAACGCCATCATCATCACGGCAGACGAACACCATCATCATCATCACGGCAGACGATCACCATCATCGCCATCAGCACCACCACCACCATCATCATCATCACGCTGCTGCTGCACTACGAACGGGGCGACCCGAGTTTGATTCCCTCTCACGGCTACCAACACCACAGGTGGCGATCATCTGAAGCGGTACCCTGGGGCCTCCTCCCACGAGGTCCACTCGTCCTCAAATGGGTACCTGGTGCAGTGGTGGTGTGGAGGAAACATCGCCACTGGGAAGACAAAGGTGGCCGGGCGTGGTGCTGGCCACCAACCACCTCGTGTTTCTTTGCCGGCCTTCGTAGGCGCTGCTACTCGCTAATAGCGCTTGCCTCAACAGTCTGTTCAGGCTAAACGGGGAATGTTTGTCTTTGTACGGGGTGTGTGCAAGGTTTGTGTAGGAGGCTCGTGAAGGACGCCACCAATTTGGCAGATGGAGGCAGTCGCCCATCCAACAACAACGGAGGGCAGGTCGAGCGACTCTCACTACGACGAGCGGAGCGCCGGGCGGATAAAACGCAGCGAGTTGGCACAGTTGGGGGGAACAGGTGGTGCATCTGCACAGTCATCTCAGTCGGTCAACCCATGTCACCTGCGGGGTCTGTCCCGTGACCTCTCCCTGAACCTAGCCTTGCAAAGCATTCACCCCTCTGGCACCTGCAGGGTCTGTCCCCGTGACCTCCTCCTCATGCACCTAGCCTGGCACAGTAGTCAACCTATGGCTCCTGCAGGGGCCGTCCGTGACCTCCCCCTGCACCGAACCTGGCACAGTAGTCAACCAATGGCACCTGCAGGGTCTGTGCGGTGACATCCAGATGCACCTAGCCTGGCACAGAAGTCAAGCTATGGCACCTGCAGGGTCTGTCCTGTGACCTCCACTTGCACCTAGCCTGGCCCAGCAGTCAGCTCACGGCACCTGCTGGGTCTGACCCGAGACCTCCAGTCAGCGAGCCTTCGACACTTCACATGATAGCCTCAAAGTGCACCTAGCCTGGTACAGGCCGCCGTCACCGCCACTTAGTGGCATTTTCGAACACATTTTCGCAACTCGCCGCCTGATGAACCTGCTGATTGTTGTTGCTGTTGTAGTTGTGGCTGTTTTGGTTGTTGTGGTTGTTGGGGTGGTTAATAAAGACCGCTTGTGTTGCAATCGAAACGTCGTGTGTTTTTTTTGCTTTTATTATTTTCAATTTATTATTTATATTTTATTATTTTTACTTCATCTTTTTAATTATTATTTTTTTTCTTTCCGATCGATGTCACGCCAACTCACTTCTCGGAACAAACCTTAAATATCAGCCGGGGTCTGTGTGATGCGTATATAGGCCTCTGTGTGATGAGTATTTGGATCTGTGTGATGAGTCTACGTGTCTCTTTGTGGTGAGTCTATGAGTCTCTGTGTGATGAGTCCAAGGCCGTAGCCATGGCATCAACATTGGGGGGGGGGACCAAATCTTCCAGGAGCCCGAATCGTCGTGATTTATTTTATTTTATACCTACGTGACTTTTCCGAAAGAACCAAAGAGTATGAATTCCTGCAGTCACGAAAGTTTTAAGTGGAAAAGAAAAGCCAACTTAATTTAAAAAGGGAATGCGAGCGTGCAAACGCAGCACCAAACACGTCCAACACTCCGTATAGGGCTTTAACGATTTGCGGGAAAATATCTAATCGCGATTTTTCTGACAGGTGTATTGCGATTTGATTTGCGATGAAACATTTTTTAAGTCAAGCTTCAATGTTCACTGTGTAATAGATTTAAAACATGTGATGGAGCATTACCACATCATACCATCAAAATATGAACTGCTCTATTCATTCTAATGCAAGGATGAGAACGTAAAAGATATGAATTGCTTTCAACATGTTTTTAATTAAAACTAATTTGAAATAGAAAAATTTAACAGAGAACAACTGCTAAGTTAAATAAATAAAGTTATAATAATAAAAACTAAAAACTATTCCAATTAGAAAGTAATAGGACTTTTAAATCGCAAAAAAATCGCAGCCTTTGCGATTTGCTAATCGCATTGTTTCAAATTGCGATTTCGATTTGAAATCAATTAATCGTTCAGTCGGAGTACAGAAACTAAACACCCCAAAACATTAAAACGTCGAATAGCTGCGAGGCTATTGGAAATACTGCGGTAACATCGATGTAAATTATACGCGCTAGATTTGCTATGTAGTTGTTACTTGTTGTGGATATTTAATGGGTACTTTCTATTCTCTTTGGTTCTTTCGGTAAAGTCACGTAGGTATAAAATAAAATAAATCACGACGTTTCGGGCGCAACACAAGCGTCCGTCATCAGGTGGGAAAGCATGATCTGTTGCTGAGGCAGCTGCTGAGGCAGTCTCAGCAGCCTCAGCAGCCTCAGTCTGCCCCAGTAGCAGACCATGCTTTCCCACCTGATGAAGGAAGCTTGTGTTGCGCCCAAAATGTCGTGATTTATTTGATACCTACGTGACTTCACCGAAAGAACCAAAGAGTATAGCAAGTACCCAATAAATATCCACAATAAGTAACAACTGTAAGTAAATCTAACGCGTATTATTTATATCGATGTTACCTTAGTATTTCTAATAGCGACATAGCTATTCGACGCTTTAATGTTTTGGGGTGTTTAGTTTCGGTACTCGGGCTGAACGATTAACCGATTTCAAATCGAAATCGCAATTTGAAATGACTGCCTGTCATGTACAACAGCAGGCATCGTCAGGGTCCGGGATCGAACCCATGCCCTCCTGTATACCAGGCGAGGTAGTTAACATCTCTATATATCGCAGTATGCTTTGCTGTTGTTGCAACAACAAACAACCCGCCATGCAGAAGTTGTCTCACCTCCGCTCACGAACAGCAACGCCACGAGGAGCAGACCAGGCAGGTGGCAAGTCATGGTTAGAGTCGTGGAGCCAGGCGTTGTGGAGCTTTGGGATGGAAAGTCGGCGAGTGGAGATAGACAGATTAACAAGAGTCAGAGTGAGAGAGAGATATCGCTGGATTGGTGACTGCGTCTGCGTGGTGAACTGTGTGATTTTATAAGCCCCAGAGACCAATGAGATCGGGGTAGACACTCCTACAAACATATTTGCACATAACGTAAAAATCGTAGCGGGTGATGTGCAAATATATTTGTCGGAGGTCGTTGCTCAACATCAGCAAATGTGGCTGGCACGCTAACTGGGATGGGTTGCATGGTAACAAACGCATCTACATGTACACACACTCACACCTGAATGGACACAAACACCTGCATATATATACACACACAGACCTGCATAGACACACACTGAAACCTGCAAGAACACACACACCTGCATATACACACACCTGTACATACATACACACACCTCTTCATACACACAAACCTGAATATACACACACCTGAATATAAACACACACACACCTGCATGTACACACACACTTGCATAAACACTCACACCTGCATGTACACACACACACACCTGCATGTACCCACACACCTGCATGTACATACATAGACATCTGCATGAACACACACTTGCATATACTCTCACACTTGTAAGTACACACACCTGTACCTATACATTCAGACCTGTACATACGCACACACAAACCTCTACATATGCACACACCTGTACATATACACACACCCGTACATATACAATTATAAAGACAAATATGAAGATCCCCCGTATAGCCTTGACAGACTCTCGGGGCAAGTGACATTATCGAGGACCGATGAAGGCCGGAACGGCACGCAAGGGTTTGGTTGTCCAACACCACGCCCGGCTGCTTTTGTCTCCCCAGTGGCGATATTTATACATCGCTACTGGTCCTCATTTGAGGCTGAGTCGACCTAGGGGGTGCCCATTACCGGTTTAGATAATTGCCACTGGTGTTGGCCGTGAACGGGAAACCAAATCGGGAAGCCTGGTTCGTAGCACAGTGTAGTGCTAACTATTGCTCTATGGCTACACACATACAGACCCATAGACTCACCACGCAG